CAGCACAAAGAATTTAAAGGACCAAATGACAATTAAATGGAAGAGCTAAAATGAAACACCCGGTCTTTGGACTCCTAATAAAGTGTTCTTTGCTACCACATACACTGCTACTCTTTTTTGGGATTTATTTTTTATTGCTAAAATCCCAGCTTTGTGAATCATGGCACATTGTAAGGCTCAGCCTGGTGTGGTTAGAATAGAGTGCTCACGTGGGAGTTAGTCACATTTTGGCTTCATAGCTAACCTATTGTTGAATATTGAAATTGTGATGTTCTTTAATCCTTCTGCATCTCATTTTCTCTTTTTCCTTGATCTGTGTTATGTTTTGAAGCTCAGTGTGAATGGAGTCATCTAGCTACCTTGTTCTCACTGCAAGAATACTGTTGGTGCTACCATCCTAGGCCAGCCATATGATTTGCTCCCAAATACAAGTTGCAGTTTCATTGGTTTTGTGAGTCTCAGGAATTCTATGACTTTTCTGTGTAATTCTTTGTAATTTTCTGTGTAATTTCTGTGTTTAACTTCATTGAGGAACTTAAGGCTTCCTGAAGAATTCCCTGGTGGTTTAGTTGCTAAGTTCTGTCTGACTCTGCAAACCCATGGACTGTGTCCATGTAGGTCCCCATGTAGCCTGTCAGGCTCCTCTGTCTATGGGATTTTTTAGGCAAGAATACTGGAGTGGGTTGCCATTGCCTTCTCCAGGGGATCTTCCCCACCCAGGGACCAAACCTGGGTCTCCTACATTGCAGGTGGATTCTTTACCATCTAAGAAAGCCTGAAGAATTCCCTAGTAGATTGTGGAAATGTTCAGTATAGGTTATGTAAACAGTTCAAGCTTATTGAGCACTTGCTAAGTGCTGGACACTTACAGTCACCCCTGAGGTATAGCAGATGGATAAGCATGGACACAGGATCCTTGCCCAGCTATTGTGGACTGGAGTGAGGCTTTCCACTCAGGTCCTTTGGCTCTGCTCTGAATCACTGAGCTATACTGCTTACGTGGAAATGGTTTCTGAAAGGTGTGCCTTGGTGCTGTGCTGTGCTGTGCTTCATCGTTCAGTCGTGTCCATCTCTTTTTGGCCCCATGGACTGTAGCCCGCCAGGCTTCTCCGTCCACGGGGATTCTCCAGGCAAGAATACTGGCATGGGTTGCCATGTCCTCCTCCAGGGGATCTTCCAGAGCCAGGGGTTGAACCCAGGTCTCCTGCATTGCAGGTGGATTCTTTATTGTCTGAGTTACCAGGAAAGCCCAGGAACACTGGAGTGGGTGGCCCATCCCTTCTCCAGGGGCTCTTCCAACCCAGGAATTGAACTGGGTCTCCTGCATTGCAGGTGGATCCTTTACCAGCTGAGCTACCAGGGAAGCCCCTCTGTCTTGGTAGGGCACAGTTAATTCTGGTAGTTGAAAATCTCCTAAACCAGAGTTGGTTGTTCATTGGAACCCAAGTGGCTGCTTTCACACCAGATGTAGATCTTGCTCAAATAATGAGAACAAAGTAAGAACTCCCCACAGAAAACGTTCCTCGGAGGCCCACAGATTGTTCACTTTGTTCACATGCAGACCTGGAATTCATTGTGACATGTCTTATTTGATTTATATGAAGTGCAAGGGGTCCTGACAACTATAGAAGTTCGAACATTCATCATTAATTTCAGCTCTTTAATTAAGCATCTGTGACACGTGCAAGCTTTCTTTGAAATCTGGGAATGAAAATAGATCATTAAAAATGAAGCAGAAATGAGGTTTTATTTCTACAGCTGTAAATTTTCTTACACAGTAAAATCTAGAAACATACAGTTTGTTGTTACAAGTGTAATGTCTATCCACTCTATATATATTTAGCACTAATTTTGACTAAATTAAAATAATACAGTTTGTCATTTTTTGAAATTCACCCAAGATTCCCAATGGAATTCCTCCTTTTCCCCCATTTGTTCATTCAAAAAACACTGAATATCTTTTGTGCCATACACTGGATTAAGTATACTTAAGCCTCTTAATTACTCGTATGTTGGTGCATTGATGTGTTATCACAAGGAGTAAAATCTTAAGCCCAGTTATTTGAAATCCTTTGCTTCTGATCATACTTGGTATGACAGCAGTTTTGAGAGAGAGACATAAGCCAGGTAGTAGTGCATAATCAAGAAGGTAAAACTTGGAGATGGCTAAAGATGATGATGGCATCATGTGTGGGGTGCTTTTAGACCCAAAATGGAAGCAGTAGGAGCATTTTTGCCATTTTAAATAGAGGATCTAAAATGTGACAAATTAGCCTTCAGCCTCAAGGGAAATAGTAATTTAGGCTCCTGGTGCTTGATACTTAGAAAGGAGCTTCATCATAATCAGAAGAAAGTGATCTGAAGATCAGATCATCAGAGTTAATGTTTCAACTGTGCTCCAGAGATGTGCCCCATCGGTCACCTCTGTACTGTGTGGGGTGGGAGGAGTAGGGAATGGCGGAAAGGGGTTGATGGTTGAAAACCTGCTTCCCATCTCAATCCCTCTTTCATGTTTGAAGAAAAGGTAGTGTAGCTGAAGGAAACTTTGAAAAAAATATGACTATAGACCAGCACACACATTTTACCAGTGAGCAAACTGAGGCCCAGACATATTCCAGGAAAGGCAAATAGCCATATAAGAAAGTGAATATAATCATGGTTTTCTACACTACCTGGGGCATCAGTGAGCCATTTTACAGTCATTTTGCCAGCATGGTGTAAATTCTGACTACTGAGTTACGTACGAATTGTGACATAGCTACACTGGGTGAACTGAAGATGATGAAACATGGGGGTTTGCAGGAGAGGAAAATCTTCATGTGCCTCTGTAAGAAGTTAATAGGTATTATCTAAAGCTGATTAATTTAGACGTAAATAGCTTGGTCAACATAGTATTTAAAAATACAGAGGTTCAATGGAACAGAATACAGAGCCCAGAAATAAAATCACACACCTTTGGTCAATTAATCTTCGACAAAGGAGGCAAAAATATACAGTAGAGAAAAAAACTGTCTCTTCAATAAGTTGTGGGGAAACTGGACAGCTACATGTAAAAGAATGAAATTAGAACACTACCTAACACTATACACAGAAATAAACTCAAAATGGCTTAAAGACTTAAATATAAGACATGACAACATAAAACTAGAAGAGAACATAGACAAAACATTCTCTAACATAAATTATGGCAGTATTTTCTTAGAACAGTCTCTCAAGGCAATAGAAATAAAAGCAAAGATAAACAAATGGAACCTAATCAAACTTATAAGCTTTTGCACAGCAAAGGAAACCATAAAATAAAAAGATGATCTACAAGCTGGGAGGAAATATTTGAAAAAAATGGAACTGACAAGGTCTCAATTTCCAAAATATACAAACAGCTCATACAACTCAATAACAGAATAACAGACAATCCAATGAAAAAATGGACAGAAAACCTAAACAGAGATTTCTCCAAAGAAGATGTACAGGTGGCCAGTAAGCACATGAAAAGATGCTCAGCATTGCTAGTTATTAGAGAAATGCAAATCAAACTACATTGAGGTACCACCTCATTCCAGTCAGAATGGCCATCATTAAAAAGTTTACAAATGCCAAATGCTGCAGAGGGTGTGGAGAAAAGGGAACCCTCTTGCAGTTTTGGTGGGAATGTAAATTGGTACAGCCACTATGGAAAACAGTGTGGAGGTTCCTCAGAAAACTAAAAGTGGAGTTACCTTGTGAGTTAGCAGTCCCATTCTTGGGCATATATCTGGACAAAATTCTAATTTTAAAAGATACAGGCACGCCTCCGTTCATAGCAGCACTACTTACAGTAGCCAAGAAATGGAAACCTACATGTCCATTGACGAATGGATAAAGAAGATGTAGTGTGTGTGTGTGTGTGTGTGTGTATATATTGCATATCATATAATAATATCCACATTAATTAATATATATATATATATATACTGGAGTACTATTCAGCCATAAAAAAGAATAAAATGATGCCATCTATATCTACATGGATGAGTTTCGAAATCATATTGAGTGAAGTAAGTCCGACAGAGAAAGAAAAATATCTATGATATCACTTACATGTGGTATCTAAGATATGACACAATGAACTTATCTATGAAACAGAAACAGTCTCACAGACATAGAGAACAGAATTCCTGTAAGGAATTCTCTGGCAATCTGGTGGTTAGTACTCAGCATTTTTCACTGCTTAGGGCTCAGGTTTGATCCCTTTTTGGAAAACTAAAGTCCCACAAGTCATGTTGCTCAGCCAAAAAAAAAAAAAGAAACAGATTTGTGAAAGCGAGTGAGCGGAGGAGGGTTGAATTGGGAGTTTGGGACTAGTAAGATGCAAGCTATTGTATATAGGGTGGATAAACAAGAAGGTCCTATCATATAGCACGGAAAACTATATTTAATATCCTATAGTAAGCCATGGTAGATAGTAAAGTAAAATTTGTTATAAAACAAAAAATTTTTAAATGCAGAGGTAAGAAGAGAATGAATATATAGATGTATATAGAAAAATGCTAAATAAAGTTGAAATTGATTTCCTGTTCAGAGCACATCTAAGGATACAGAGGGGCATCCAGAACTGCTGTTTTCTGTGAATATATTACTTTTCAACAAACAAAAATAAAACTTGAAAGAATGTATAATATGCATTTGCATCCTTTGTATGCCCCCTACCCTTGGTAAAAAACACATAACTCATTTGTCAAGGAGACCCTTCCTTGGAAGATCTAAGGGCGGAGGCTTGAGAGATCAAATCTGTGGCTGGATGTTTCCCAACTAAACCAGTTATGCCTCTGGCTACTCATTTATATTTCTCCCTAAATCACTGTAGGAACACAAGCTGCCTCCAGAAAGGTGAAAGCATGATGGCACAAGTCTTGAAATAGCCTGTACTTAGGAGACAATTTCTCTGTTAATTCCTTTTGTCCTATCTTATACCAATTCTAAGAATCAGCCCCTAACTACTCTTTTTGATTTTTTTAAAACAGGGAAATGCACATAAAATCATGGAGAAATGTACGTTACCTCTAACAGGAAAGCAGTGTGTCAACCGTATCATTACTGAAAAGGTAAAGTGCCTTTCTCTTTTATTTCCTCTAGTGCCTGCTACCTTTTTTAAAAAATGTATAAGCATTTTAGAACTTTTTGTTACTTTCTAAAAGTGTGTTACATTGGTAGTCATAGGATTAATTTAATCTGTGGGTAGACTGAATAGGAAGATTCATCAATTTAATGTTTCTGGATGCAGAATTCTTAAGTGAACTTCTCTGGAAATATATGCACAAAATTGAATTCCTGCCCTTGGTAACTTTGACAGTGTGATACAATCAAAGAAAAGTTATATTGAGCCTTATACTTGAACTAATACAATAGATGATTTATACAAAGTTAAGAATATATTTATCATTACTTTCTTCTTTGATTTCCTAAATTGCAAGTACACATTGTTGGATCTCATTTTAGGAAACTCCGTAAAAATTAGGTTTTAACCATTTAGGTGCAAATTGCAGTATGGCCCCACAGTGAACCAAAAAATCTGTTCTTTGGTTCTTGCATAAAGTGGACTTCAGAACACACCTGCGTTTTAGAGGGCCTCTAGATATTATCTTCTTTGATAGAAGATGGTTACTGGTAAATTGAAACTGAGAGAACAGCATCATTGCAGGTGCTGTAGTTCCTTTCCGACTCAGATTTGAACCTGAGATGCTGGAATGACATTGTTCTCGTAAGTGAGCCGGGAGGGTGTCATTTTCATTGTTTTGATTCACTATTTTGATGAACCACAGAACAGAATTCTCTAGATCAAGAGTTGGTTTTTTCATAATGGTGCTGTTCCTTTTGGCATCAAACAGGTTTAGAACCCTCATTCAGTTGTGGTACGAAGCACCCTAAAGCAGCCTTTTGAAGTAGAAGGCTTAGAATACTTTTCAGAAGCCACATTTTAAGGAGAGTTTTGTCCTAAAATTGTGCCTGCCCCTAGGGCAGTTTATATCCATAAAGATGACATGTAGAGAAGAACAAGCGGATAAAAGAGCACAAGTTTAACCTCACCATTTATTCCAAGTCTTAACATTTCTTAAACTCCTCCACAATCATGGACAGGACTTGTTGAAAAGAATCCATTACTTTGAAATCAAAGACAAAACAGTCCTTGATCCTGTTTTCTTTAGTAAAGTAATGTGGTACGGCTTCTCAGGATAATCCCAGCTACATTTTACCCTCATCTTCCTCTTCTCCCAGGTGAGCCCTCTCGCTGTATCCCCCCTCATGTGCGCCCTTGCCTGGTTCTTACCAGTTTAGTGCTTTCATGTGGAACAGCTCCCATTCAACTTTGCCTCCCCAAATCCTACCCATCTTTTAACATAATTTCCAGCTCATCATGAAGAGGTTTCAGATAATTTAGCACTCACAATTTCATCCTCAGAGTGGCCCACCATTCATTTTAGCACTTACCATCTAATATAGGGGCCCCCAGCCCCTGGGTAACCCATCTTAAACCTAGCTTACAGCTGGAGGTGAGCATTAAGATGAGCAACCAAAGCTTCATCTGCTTCTTCTCATCGCTCCTTGTCTTTCCACGTTACCACCCGAATCATCCCACCCGCTACCCCCAGTCTGTGGAAAAATTGTCTTCCACTAAACCAGTCCCTGGTGCCAAAAAAGCTTGGGAACCACTGATTACATGCCTGCATTTTCTTATGACATTACTTATATGTTATTTAAATTTGCTGCCATTTAAAAAAGCTTTCTACCCTTTTCTCCATCTGCATTATTGTTTTATACATTCTTTCATTTCATAAGTATTTTTGAGCTCCTTCTCTGAGGCAGACTATTGCCAACAGTGGGCTCAGAAAGCAAGACAGTCTGCCCCCCAGGAGCACATTCAGGTGGAGCTGACATCAAGCATCCAGAGGTGCCAGCACTTAGAGTAATGCATGCAGTAAAGTCCACAGGAGAGACGTGGACTGAGTTAGGAGCATAGAGGAAAGCTGCTTAGCAGGCTCAAGAGAGTCTCAGGAAAGCTTCTCAGTGGTATCAGATACAAGCTTTTCTCTCTTTCCCTCTCTCTCTTTTTTTTTTTGGCCACACTGCGCAGCTTGTAGGATCTTAGTTCCCCAACACCAAGTTTGAACCCAGGCCCTAGTACTCTCAGTGGTAAAGAATCCTCCTGCCAACACAGGAGACATGGGTTTGATTCTTGGGTCGGGAAGATCCCCTGGAGAAGATAGTGGAAACCCACTCTAGTATCTCTGCCTGGGCAATCCCATGGACAGAGAAGCCTAGCAGGCTATAGTCCCTGAGGTCGCAAATAGTCGGACAGGACTGAAGGTCTCAGTGACAACAAAAAACAACTCTCGGCAGTGAAAGCTAAGAGTCCTAACCACTGGACCACCAGGAATTCCCATCAAATATAAGCTTTTAACTGCAAGGCATTTCACAGTCTGAATCTTTTCTCCTCCAGTCTGTTGCTCTCTTTTGGCCTTAACATTCTCCCCACTTCTACTGTCCTAAATGCTCTGAACTATGCGGCATCACTTGCACCTTCCCCCCCAACACACACCATGTTCTTCTGGGACTTTGCACATCCTGTCTCTCTCCCTGGCATGTTCTTGCCACCCTAGCCATCTGACTGATTCCTGCTCATCTTTTATGTCTCAGCTATTGATTCTTCTGGCAAACCTTCCCTATCTCTCCCCCAAGTCTTGTCGTTGCTTCCCTGAGTCTTAGGACTCCACCCTAACTTAGCACTGTATTGAAATAACCTTTGAGCTCTGCCTGTCCCACTCATTACTGTTTATCCAAGGTCAAGCATAATGCTTGACCTGTACACAGTGAATGCCTATTGAATAAATAGCATACCTTCCTTGATGAGAAAATTAATAGATTGAGTGATGAGTCTTGAAAAATAAATATGAGTTTTTATAAGTGAAAATAAGACCAGAGAGGCCCTTCTAGGCAAAAGGAAGAAAATAAGCAGAGTCACAGAGGTATCAAAACACAGCTTACTCCAGGGCTTTTATGTGGGACAGTGTGGAGCATGGGACAGCATGGAGTGAGGGTGTAGCCAGGTATTTTGAAGGCTGAAGGTGAAAAGCCAGTGAGGGGCCAAATTATGAAGGAATGTGAATGTCTTGTTAGTAAATTTGAGTTTTATATTGAAGGCAGTTGGGAGCCCTTCATGATTTTTAATTGACTTTGCCCTTGTGGCTCAGTTGATAAAGAATCCGCCTACAATATGGGAGACCAGGGTTCCATCCCTGGGTTGGGAAGATCCCCTGGAGAAAGGAGAGGCAACCCACTCCAGTATTCTGGCCTGGAGAATTCCATGGACTGTATAGTCCATGGGGTCACAAAGAGTTGGACACAATTGAGTGAATTTCACTTTCACTTTCTTGATGTTTAATAGTTGGGAGCACCATTGATTAGATTTGCATTTTGTAAAGAGCCATGTAGTTTCTACCTAGATTAGGGGGGAAAGCCATGAGAACCCCCTTCAGGTATCTTGGTCAAAAATAGCAAGGTCCTAAACCACAAGACCCAAAGAGAGATTTCATAAAGATTTAGGAGATGGACTCAGCCTAACTTGGTGATGAATGGGGCATAGTCGCTAAGGCAGAGGTGATTTCTGAGTTTTCTGGCTAAAGGCATTGTTTACCTCTTTTATCTTTAATGAAGGCTGGCTCTGCAGGAAGAGTAAGGGGGGAGCAAGGGGAGGCAGCGACAAAATAGGTTTTGTTTGAGCATACTCAACTTGATATTCCTGAGTAAGGTGACATCCAAAGTATCCAGTTTGAGATTTCTGATAAACAAGTGAAGAAGGGTATCTGGAGCTCAGAGAAGTGTGAAGGAGCTCACACACTGGAAGGAATGTGTGAACTCAGCAGACGGGGGTGACTGGAACCTAATCTGTAGGTGACGTTGTGTAGGTAAAGGGAGCTAGGTGTGACACTTTGGGTTCCTCAGGCAACGGAGTAGGTAGCGTATTCCCCTGTGCTCTGTACATAGAAGATGCTTAATAAATGCCGCCGTGCTATGAAGTTTAAAAAGACTGTGAACACTCTGCCAGAGCAGATGTGGGACTAGAATTCCATTTTTAGCTCTTAAGGAAAGTTCCATTAGTTGCCTGCCATTTGAAAGAGGCTTCAGAGGTATTACGACTCTGCTTTCTTGGTTTTGTTTTGCTAGAATGATGGGATGATAGATGCCTTCCTCAACAGCACTTGGCTCTGACTAATTGCTTTATCCATAATGCAGCCTGTTATGGTGGTGAAAAAAATAATAAAATTATTCATCTGTAAAACAAAGTAATTGAAATATTATTCTTGGTAGTTGAACAGTTGATTGTAGCTTTTAGATTTTAGTGTCTGTCTTTTATCAAGTTTTTGTTTACACTTTATACGACTAAGTGGGGAATCTCCCTCAATATTTCAAAAGTAGATTTCTCATTTTTTTTAATTCGTAATACTTAGTTTTCTAATATATGAACCTGAGAGCTAATTAGGGATTGATAAAGATGTTAATAAAAGGTTTTTAAAAGCAATGTCATTTGCCACAGAGTTTATCTTCTTGATCACCGAAGCCTTATACTCATAATACCACAGTTATACACAATAAGGCTCTTTTTCTCTTATTTGTTCCATTTTGATAAACTTGTGGTTGTTCATAATACAAGGGAAAGAATATAGTATGAATGATGCTCCAAACACATTTTCTGCAAAGAAAAAGTTGCCAATTAAAAAAAAATTGTAATTGTCATTTTGAATAACCTACTGCATCATACAGACGTTCCTCACTGATCATTTTTTTCCCCTCAAAACATATTTCAGCTGAAAAAAGTTCCTTTAGGAACATTAAAATGTGGAAACAAAAAAGTTTGCTGAAATATATCATCCCAGATTTAAACCATCTTTTCCAGTAAAGCCAATCAGGTGTCTATGAATTCATCGAACAAAGCAAATATCTCTAGTCCCCTTAATGTTTTGCTCCTGAGGAGAAATATCAATTATCTGGGGACAGATGAGCATTTGGGGCTTTAATTTGTGTTCACACACATATGCACATGTGGGAGAAAGGATATGCCTTTGTGGTGTCCTTGCTATGTCTCAAGCATGAGGCCAGCTGCTCAGAGTAGGTTTGTTATTATATTTGTCCTGTAGAACAATCTTGGGAAGTAGGTTTGTTTGACCTACATCTACAGATGTGAAGATAGGTTCAGCAAAGATTGCATAGCTATTGTCAGCTGAGCTGTAATTCCAGTTCATCTTGAAAGCCAGGATTCTTTCCACTACATATTGTTGTGTCTTCTTTTTTATTATTTTAAAATGTTCTATTTTATATTGGAGTACACATTGCTGTGTCTTTTTAATAGCCTCCAGGAGTGTGTTTAAAAATGTCAATTTAGGGGTGGACTTCCAAGGTAGATGAAAATAAAGATTCTAAGGCTGAAAATAATAGTTGAATTTAAGGTAATTCCAGAGAAGAGGAAAGATCTGGGAAGCCTAAAGTTTAAGTCTGAGGAAGACTGACCTTGAAAACTGGAAGAGGGAACAGTTCCTGTGCATGGGAGGACAGCTTACTATAGAGTCCATGAGTGAATGTTTAGGGAAGCACTTCTGCTTCTTGCAGTTAGAGCTTCCCATTGGTAGGTAATCTGCCTTAGAAAGTGAGCCTTCTACCACTCAGTTCAGTTCAGTCACTTAATCATGTCCAACTCTTTGCGACCCCATGAAACGCAGCACGCCAGGCCTCCCTGTCCATCACCAACTCCCAGAGTCCACCCAAACCCATGTCCATCGAGTCGGTAATGCCATCCAACCATCTCATCCTCTGTCGTCCCCTTCTCCTCCTGCCCTCAATCTTTCCCAGCATCAGGGTCTTTTCAAATGAGTCAGCTCTTCTCATCAGGTGGCCAAAGTATCGGAGTTTCAACTTCAACATCAGTCCCTCCAGTGAACACCTAGGACTGATCTCCTTTAGGATGGACTGATTGGATTTCCTTGCAGTCCAAGGGACACTCAAGAGTCTTCTCCAACCTTCTACCACTGGAAGTTTCTAAACAAATCCCCAGAGACCATCTCAGAAGGATGCTTTGAAGAATTCTTGTGTGGAAGATTTTATTGCGTGACTTTGTGGGTCCCTTCTACTCAATTTGTTGCATTACCAAGAGTGACCACACGTGTTCTGTATCAGACACAGCTGGTTGAATGTACCTGCTTGGGTCAAACTATACCAACTGGCACCACCGTCACCTAGTATAACCAATCAGAATGTTGAAATGCGGTGTTTAGGGTGAGGTGAGCCTTCTCATGCTTGTCCTAAACGTAAGCATCTTCATTTGATTTCCACACCAGAGGGAGAGTCTCATGCTATGCTTTCAGACCTGTGTGTTTTCACAGGACTTAAGGGAAAGCTTTGATATTTACCTGGGGGAGGGGATTGTCTTTCAGGGCGAACTGTCCCTTTACAGTCCTCCTAGCTGGGGCTCCCCTGGCGGTCCAGTGGTTAAGACTTAACCTTTCAGTTCTGGGGTTGGGGTTCAGTCCCTGGTCAGGGAGTTGAAGTCCCACATGCCTCAGGGCCACAAAACAAACATGTACAAAACAACATGCAAACATTGTAACAAATTCAATAAAGGCTTTTAGAAATGGTCCACATGGAAAAATTTAAAAAAAACAAAAATCAAGTAACTCCTAGCTACTTCAGAGCACCTGCTTTTATTTCCGGTAATTTACCGAGAAGCCTCAGTCACCTTTCCTCCATCATCCCTTTGCTTTCACTTTCTAAATCTCTCCTCCCTCCCTGTTTTTCTTCCTCCTTTTTTTTTTCAGATCATTGTTAATGAACCAAATTAAATTTTGACCAAAAGTGTTAGATCTAACAAAAGGAAAATAGTTAAAAAAAAAAGAAAACTGGTTATAATAGTGGCAAATGCCATCAGTAGTCAACATTCATTTATTTTCTGGCATCAACAGTGCTCCCCAACTAATTGCCAATTAAGGAGTTGGCGTTTATTCTCACCAAAATATAGTAGTTACAGTTGACATGTTTTCATTGCTAATTTTCAGTCTTTTACCCTGGGTCTTTTCTGTCCTTAAAAAACTTGTGAGGTTATTTCTGTTTTGTGCTATAAAAATAATTACAGTGATAGGAATAGTCATTGTCATTTTCTTGATTTTGACAGGCTGTGTTTGATGTGGACAGCAAGAAGGGTCTGACTCTCATTGAACTCTGGGAAGGCCTGACAGTGGATGACATAAAAAAGAGCACTGGGTGTGATTTCACAGTAAGTGTTTCTGTGAACAAATCCAGCCACTTGTCCTGTACCCCGAGCTTGATTAATTGGTATTTGTGGGACATGAACCATTAATTTGTGATCATTTTTGGAGTTGACCTTTGCAGGAACAGGAGTGGAAGGACGGCTGCCTCCAGTGAGAGCAGGTGGGAGCAGGAACAGGCTCTGACTCAGTGGACGGGGTTGGCTCAGGGATCAGAAGCAGGAGGGGGAGGACCCAGGAGCTGCTGCAAACAGCAGGTTGAGCTTGAGCTCTAAGCTGTTTGTTGTAACATTCCTTGCAGTCCTCTGTTCCTGGGTTATGTATAAGGCACAGCCAAATTTAATTAACTGAAAAATGTGAGCCACACACAGACAGATGATACTTCCATATTTTGAAATGTATCTCTGGAATTTGATTTTCTCTCTGATTAACTTCTTTGCCTGATCATTCCATCTATGGGCAATCCTTGAATGTTGAGCTTTTAACAAACACTGCTGGATTGATAATCACAAAATAGATGATTCCTCTATTTGAAGAAAAACTGCGTGCTTTAAAATTCTGAATTACAAAGCATATAAGAACATCAGGAGTATCCACTAAAATCTCCAAATCCCTTTTTTAAACAAAGAGAATAAAGTTCACAAGGTCACTCAGTTGTGTCTGGTTCTTTGCGACCCCATGGACTGTAGCCCTCCAGGCTCTTATATCCATGGAATTCTGCAGGCAAGAATACTGAAGTCAGTAGCCATTCCCTTCTCCAGGGGATCTTCCCAACCCAGGGATAGAACCTGCTAACCTGTGTCTCCTGTATTGGCTGGCGGATTCTTTACTACTGAGACCAGCTCGGGCCTGGTAATATAAATAATTGCCTTTTAATATAAGAGCTTATTTAGCAATCACCAATCACCAAACTAATGGGATTGAGAAGAGAGTTCAGTCCATTTGGAATTAATTGAAAGTAAAGGTGAAATGTGTCTGAAAAATGAAGAAATAGACTTAGCTTCTCACATACTTTTTAAGAACAGCTCTACATGTTAAAATTAAATATATTTATAATGAGAAGAAATATTGCAGCTACCCATCCTGGAGAAAGTAATTTAACGAACTGTTAGTCGCTCAGTCGTGTCTGACTCTTTGCAACCCTGTGGACTGTAGCCCATCAGGCTTCTTTGTCCGCAGAATTTTCCAGGCGAGAATACTGAAGTGGGTTGCCTTTTCCTTCTCCAGGGGTCTTCCTGACCCAATGAAGATCAGCCTGACCCACTTTGCAGCCAGATTCTTTCCCATCTGAGCAGCCAAGGAACTTACTTGATAAATCATGCATGTATTTCATACATTTCTTCCTGAGGTACTACATGATTGGCTAGTACCTATTAGTGCTTAACAAACATCTGTAAACACAATTGTGCTGCATAATTCACGATCCACATATAACTGTTTCTGGTACTGTGTAAAGGTCTTTGTCTATTAACCTTCTTTGAATTTCCTTTCAGAAAAAAGAAGTCTTCCAACAATTCTTTACATGAAAAGCACATCTGTAATTAACTTTTCAGTGACCTCAGTGGGTAACAAATGGGATTTGTTTGTAGTTTAACTATTTAGAATTCCTTACTCCAGTGATGAAAGCAAACAGTTCTTCTTCCTTATTAGCTATTCTTTATAGTTTTTCCCCTCTGTGGATAAGTTAACCTCTTCTTCAGCAGATGACATTTTTGAGACGTTCTGTAGAATGTTCAAGCCTCTGCTACAGAAGGGAATTGTAAAAGAATATCCTCGTTATCAGTTTTTTTTTTGATACATTGAAATATATCTGTGTGGCCCCTCTCTTATCACAGTAGCAACCCTCCTCTTTTGGCATTGACGTATAATTTTGTTTTCTCCAAATGAGGCTGTTGAAATGAAATGTTAATTTTTATGTCAGCATTGCTCTGAAAATGAAAAGGTCTAGTAGCGTCAGCTAGACCATTTCAACAGAAGAACTAGATTTTGAGGATCTAATGATCAGTGGCATCTCTTTAGACTCTGACAGATGAATCCACATGTATCAAATTCTCTGTAAGACTAGAGACTGAAGTGGTCTTATTTGCAAGCTCTGTTTCATAGCTGGGTTATCAGCAAGCTACTTTTAATAACAAAGTACATGGGGAGAGCATCTCTTCATTTGATATTTCAAAAGATATCTCATGATTATTACTGCATAGATAGCATTTTACTCTATGTGACTGCATACAATTTACTCAAGATCTCTGTTTGACAAAAGGCCACTCAGCCTTCACTGTATACTGAGAAGTGAACATTTTAGAAAGGAATAGTTAGCCCAAAGAAAGGTAAAGACCTTGGTCAAAGTAACTATGAAAATGTGTTGGTAAAAATCTGGGCAAAGAATATGGGCAAGGGACTTGGCAAAGGATATAGAATGTGGATGTGAGCTGATGGAGAAGATCCTGAGAATTTCAAAGAAAAGGACAAATATGACAACATCAGATAACAGGACATGACAAAATTGAGGTTTCAGGGTATTAAAAATAATGGTAATGAAATATTTGAACATTAAAAAAAAATAGAATGACTAAAACTTTCCTGTATGTCACAGTGCAATTAGCAACAACAGCAAATGTGAAGGGAAAATGTGTCCTTTAGGTATCACTTGAAATAGCTTCTTAAAAAATCCATAGTAACCATAATGTGAGTAGAAAGGAATTTTCTTTTCAATTAGTATGAAAGTTTCTGTCAGCTACTCCAAAGAAAGCTGTAGACGTTTTGTAAAAGAAATGCAAATATTGACTATATTTCAGGAAACTTCCTCATGCTTCTAAAATAAGATTCTGGTCAGGAGTAGTTGACATCAAAAGAAGCCAACCCATAATGGACAGAGGTCTTGTTCCATATGATCGCTCTCCTTCAAAATGCAATTGTTATAAAGAAAGGGACTTTCCTCTGTATTTCTTGGAGACTGAGTTCCAAATCTATCGAGAGAGATGAACGAGTTGGACAAGAGAGGTTAAAACATTATCTTATGAAGCCTAGGATGAAGAATGTGGCTTAGATGTACAGCCACATAAGCTTTCCCAATTACAAACCCCTGAAGTGAGAGGGACCTCCACTCCCAGTTATAGGCAGCCTTGAAAAATCAGGCCTTCCACGCAGGGGAGAGTCTTTTCTACTGAACTTCTTTCCACGTGGCTGAGAGCTACACAGCACGTGCTCCCTTCAGAAGGCTGAGGAAGAAGAGTCAGACTGAGTTCCACACACCCCCAGTTCCTCTGCCCAAGTCATTCTTAGGGGACACACTTGAGGCCAGAGTATTACACTGATAAGTGTCCTTCCCCATGAGCAGTGGGGAATAAATGCTTCACAACAGCGCTGTTGGTTGGTAAAGCCATACACACGTTCACCCCCTACAAATGCTTGACTGTGATGCTGTGCAAGAATGCTTTTCTATTTTTTTTTTATAATTTTAGCACGAAACATTTTTATGACTAAGGAGTTCTCCATTTTGTTTTGTTTTTTTCCTAAGGCACTCACATTTCGAAAAAAATCTCTCAAATATTCAGTAATAATTCATTTTTAAAGAGCCAAAGTGATATTGCACAGTTCTCATATTAAAGCTGTGACAAGCTAATGAACACGTTAAATTTCTTTTCTTCTGGCTATACTTACATCACTCAGAGTGTTACTGCCAGCTACTTCATGGGTCAAATAGAAAGAAAAAGGAGATGAGTTCCCTGGTGGCCTAATGGTTAGGATTCTGCCACAGCCCAGGTTCAGTCCCTGGTCGGGGGAACTGAGATCATGCAAGCTGTGTGGTGCAGCAAAATAAAAAAAGAAGGTGGCATCATACCACTTGAATTCCATTATATTCCAAAGTATCTTTTTTAATAAGTAGTTGGTTCAATTGGATATTCATTTCTTTCTTTTCTGATTCATGCTTGAGTTACATAAAATAGGTTTTTCTTTACCACATAAATCTGTGGGCCTTTTTGAACTAGAATATTTGTTTTATTTTTTAAGTTTTATGTTTTTTTTAATTTAAAAACTTAAAAATAAATTGAATTTATAGTTGAACATCATGTAGTAGAATAAACTTCCAGAGGTTATTAGTTTTTCATGGTTGTTTATTAAACACCCAGTGTATTAATATTAATATTATAATATATTAAGCTATGAAATATGAATAAAACAGGAAAAATTAGTGTAGTTCCTACTCCCAAGGGCCTTGGTCTTTTCTGTAGGTAGGAATATACCTAAACCACCAGTGGCAACAAATCAAATAAGAATCCTGCCTATTGATATATTTGCAGGGGAATCTGAAAAAAGCCAGCTGCAGGCATTCTTTGCCAAGTTGAATAAATTTGTATTCTGAATGTCTATTATGAACTGGTATTATACCAGAATTAAACAGTATATTCTTTGGATTTCAGTGGACTGGGAAGAAAACTTGTTAGCTTATCCTCTGCTCATAAATCATACAGTCCTATGCTTAGCCTGTAGATCACTGTGGCAGGATAATCTGCTTCAGCTTACCTGGGTTCACCATGTTGATGAGAGTGTGAGAGAACAGATGAAAAATGGTGGATTCGTAGCTGTTTTTCTTTACAAAAATAGGCCAAGTCAGTGTACCTAAAGGTTCATCTTCTTTTCTGTTAAAAGTCAAGTTCCACGCTGAGGCTATAAAGGTTACTAAGAGCTCAAAATAGGGCCAGCATGACAAGGAGAAGGATCAGATGTTTAGTTTGAAAAAATCAAGGTGTCCAGTTTCCTTTTAAAGGCAATGCTATTAAAACACATATTAGAAAATGACCTGTTTCCAAAGAAGAGTTTTATCTCATTAAATTATTTCCACAGATGCTCTGTTGTTTAAAAAAAGAAAATCAATTGTTTATGAGATACACACTCTAAATACTCAGAGCCCAGATATCTTTATTCTTTTCGGTAAAATTGAAGATCTGTGACTTTTGTATATTAACATCTTTTATTTTATCTGTTATTATATATCTGTTCTTGGAGCTGGCAAGTCTGAGTGAGCTCTCATTTATCCTAAGATATGTACCAAGCCATTCCGATCTTTTTGATTCTGGTCATGGCATTTTTAGGTAGAAAAATGGAAGAGGAGACATTAACTTTTGACATTGTGAAGACTTAAGAAAACAATTTACAAATGAATAGCAATATTTAACCTCATCATAGCCAAATAATCATCTTCTGTTTTTACTACTGACTTAACCTCTATTAGGAGACCTTTCTTCTAATTCTTTGAGGCTTATATTGGCCCACTCATTCATTCATTCATTTAACAAAATTTTAAGTGTTTATTCTGAAAGACAAATTAGATCCCCTTCAATTGTCACATCCTTGAAGGGCTCAAAAATCACCTAAATTTTAGTATTCCTTACTGTGCTTTCCATGGAGCCTGTTAACTAAGACTTAATGGATATTTGCCAGATTAAATTTACCTGCTATTACACCTTGAAAGATCTATCAAAATTAGGCCAGACTACTTACCCCCAGGGTTTCCCTGGTAGCTCAGATGGTAAAGAATCTGCATACAATGCAGGAGACCCAAGTTTGATCCCTGGGTTGGGAAGATCCCTGGAGAAATGCATGGCAGCCCACTCCGGTTTTCTTGCCTGGAGAATTCCATGGACAGAGGAGCCTGATGGGCTATAGTCCATGAGGTCGCAAAGAGTTGGACATGACTGAGCAACTAACACACACACATTGACATTTAGATTTCCTATTCTACCAGCTTTAGCATTAAATATAGACCTGCCCTCATATTTCTCTACTTCAAGACTCCTTGGAATTCATTTGCTATTTGGTACGTTGAACATAATCATAGTTAATATTTAATATTTTTAATGCTGTTGCTTCCTTTTTATAATAACCTGGTATCTTTTTACTGCCTTTTTATCATTTCTACTTTGATTATGAAATTTCTGATAAAAGTGTGTTATCCAAAGACTACATTATCTCTTAACAAAATTGTGAATTGACTGGACCTACTTTAAAGATTTTGAAACTCATGGCTTGCTCCATGGCTCTGTTCTGAGTGAAGTTTCATCAGTCCCAGAGCTCAGGGGGCTGTTCGGGAGAGTTTGGTTATCTGGGCCCTTGTTCATCTCCTGCTGCTCCTCCTCCACCTCCTCCTGGTTGCAGGTCTTAAATATCTTTAAGAGCTGTAATGCAAGAAGGTTGAGAACTACCAGATACACAAAATGTAAATGGATAAAAGTGTTCTTTTTCTCAGTGGCTCAAAAGGGAAAATAATGAGGAAACTCCAGGTGAGGTCTATGGCAAGACTACTTGTTGCCTACATCATTCAGTTTTGGAAACTCAAAGCAGAGATGTTTTATACCATGAGGTTTTTTCCATAAGTCCATAATTTCTTTTTTCTCTTTCTTTTACCAGGTTTCACCAAAACTCATACCAATGCAGCAGATCTCGACTTGAAATGTGTAGTAAACCGTTGTTCTAGGCCGTGTGCTCTTCATTTTAACCACATAGGAGTTTATTAGAAGGACATCAGTAATCATAATTGTATATCTTACAAAGTTTTTGTCTGGTTTTCTTGTAGCATCTTACTGCTTTTATAGCCATATAGATTTTGTTCTCTCCAGCATGCTATGGCATTTTAATGAATAACCAAAAGGAAAAATATATATGCTTAGCTTATTCATTTTATAAGTTCTGAGAAGGTCATATTTACAGTTGGTGCTCACATTGGATTTATCTTCATCTTCTGTGGTAGATACATTAAATTGTGCACAATTTGTACCAAGATGGGCCTTTAGGGAGAGTTTCATTGGTATACTTTCCCTCCTAACTAAATCATGACATGTAGAAAAAAAGGAAGAGGGAAGAGAAGAACTGCACTCAGAGAATACCCAGGGCAGCATTGTTCTAGTTCTGAAAGATAACATTTGTGTGGATTGAATTAGGAGAAATGTTGTCTTAAAGATTAGGTTTTTCCTTCAGCCTTCTTTGTCTTTTCTTTTGGAGCCTCTGACTTTGTGATTACATCTTAGTGCATCCCTTCTCCCTCCCCACTTTTGGTAACTAAAATAAATGCCCAAGAAGGCAAAGAGGAGCATCTCTGTGTGAAAGAAGTAACCTGGTTTGTGGGAGAGACCGAAGGGTGTAGAGTCTATTGGTGCTGACATCCAACCAAGAAGTTGCCTTTATAAACAAACCAAATAACTACTTGTGCTTTGCCAAAGATGACAGTTTTTTTTTCTTTTTTTAGGAAGGCTAACTGATTAGTCAGTTTTCTCATTTTCAAACAGTGCAGTGTTCCTGTATATCCAGAAGGATCCTTAGAAGTCTTTCTCTATGGTACTGTGGGCTTCTTGTATAATACCTCCTCTTAAGCTAAGAGGAGCTGTGGGGTAATTTATCATGAACCTGCAGTAACAATGACAGGAGAGGTTTAGTTTTTCTTTCTTTTTTTTTTTTCAAGAATTCTTTCTTTTCAGGGTCTCTTTTTTCTTCTAGGGAAAGTTTCTAAATATTGAATGCCTTTTTCTACAGAACAGTGTTCTTTCTTCTACCCAGGCTTCTTCCTTGAACAAAATACTTTTTATTCAGCTTTATCAAACTAGGGAAAATAATGATAAGCAAATCCAGGATTTGAAGTGCAGTGAACTTCCTCCTTAGGAAATAAACATGGTAGATTAGATTTTGTAAGGACCTTCTCCTCCGAGGTATCCTCAGTTATCAAACAGTTCCCCAGGGGCTCTACCAAGCGTCCTGGGTATCAAATTGGAGAGAAGTCCAGGCACCCTGAAGACAGGCCAGATTGCTGTCCTCTGGACAGAGGTACGCATGTTACAGTGCAATATATCATTCCTCTCATGCCAGATACAGGCATTTCTGCAAGTTTTTAGCTAATGGCTGTCATTAAATTCACTTTCTCTTCAGATACAGCTACAGTTTTGTCATTTTAGAGGAAAGAGAGAAGCACACTCCATATATAAAATGGTCTTTCTGGCTGGCTGCATGTTTGAAAGCTTCCTCTCCCAATACTGGTAAAATGGACTTTCTAGAGAATTTTCATGGTCTGGAGAATAATTTGCATCTGTGTTAGAGTAATGGTTTGGAAAATGTATGATATTGATGGTTGCTCTTTTTGTAAACGTCTTCTGTGATTCTAAGAAAGCTCCTCATGTTGAGTGGCAAATTCTAAGTAAATTACTTTATGTTCTTGTTTAAAGAGTACCATAGGTATTAGGAAATGCATTAAGAACCACAATAAATATTCCCAATGGATGTCGATCAGTGTGATTGTCCTTTTTCTCATTTGGGAATGGTTTAAACGTGGGAATGATACAACAGAGATTGGTGTGATAGCCAATAATAAAGTTAGCACACTTTACCACTTCTAATCAAGTGACTGTTTTTTCTTTTGCTCTTGTCAAAGAAAAGATGTTATCCTTCATGAAAGAACAAGTGAAAATGTTTACCTACATGAATTCTGACTTTGCTCCTTGTCAGAGTCAATCATTCATTTGTCTATAAAAATTAATTATCCCAGATTTCCATGTGGGATTTTGCTTGCATTTTGAAGTGGCCCTACCCAGGTATCTAACCAACATCTATGTTGCCCCTCTCATAACAGACTCACCCCCTGTCCAAGGAGCTGGGCCAAGGGTATGCCTCTTTTGGTAACTCTCCTTTGTCCAGAGTGATCTTATAAGGGGTGGCTGTATGGCCCAAAATGTATGATTCAGTTTATTTATCCTATGTTGAAAACTGAAGATGAGAGAGAAGCCAATTTTCTTATTCGTCTCTGCTCATTGAGCCATAAGAAGAGTGTGAGTCTGGCACCAACACCCACCTCCCTTTCCCCCCACACACACTGGGCTTGAGTTAGAAAGAAATGGAAATACAAACATCGAGCTGTAGGGAGGAGGCATCCTAGTGCTATTTGAGTTTCTGGCTCTGTACCGTCTAAGGCCAGCTCCTCTGCAGCCATGCTTGGACATGAGCCCACAAGTCTCCCTTTTTGTTTGATCCTTTGTCACCTGCAGCCAGAGTGCAAACTCAAGCAACTTTGGTAGTTCTTAAGTCCTGGGAGGGATCTGGTCTTCTACAGAAGGTATGCAGAATATAAGCAAATCTGCTTCTCCATGGGCCCATAGAACACATGTAAGAGCATTTATAGGTGTTACCCAGTGGGTAGGAAGGTTGTGGCTGGAGGCTTTCATTCTACAGTTTCAGTGTAATCAGCACAACTTTGAAAATTACTCCAATGGAAGTATAAGCAGAGATTTATTCAATGGATGAGTTTCTTTGCACTAACCTTGTCCCTTTTCTCAAAAAATAGGATCTTGGGTTTCTTTAGCCTTTAGCCTATTTAGCCTAGTATCTTCCACCATAGATTCAGTACAATATAATTAATAACATATGATTGCAAAAATACTGACAGTCCTTTTAAAAATGTGTGTCATAGTATTACCAGAATCATGAATTGTTCCGTCCTTTTATTTTTCAGCATCTACACTATCTTTCTGCTTCCACTGCCATCCTATCAATTTAAACATGTCAGTAAAAGTCACGTGGTCTGAGTACATGGGTATGTGACATATACTTGAAGTTTCCTGCTTCCATAGTGTTTAGTATATCTATGTGAAGTCATCCAAAGGCACTGTTCATGGACCACACAGCGTCTCATGAGTGTGATGCCAATACCAACACAGGTAAGTAATTGCTTAAGACAATGCCTTCCCTTAAAGCTGCAATCAAACACAAATGAGTGACTTCCCTGGTGGTCCAGTGGTTAAGATCCCATGCTTTCAATGTAAGGGATGTGGGTTTGATCCCTTAGCAGGGGTCTAAGATCCCAGGTAACTGAGCCCTTCTGCAGCAACTCCTGAGCCCGCAGCTCTGGAGCTCACACACCACAAATAGATAGCCTGTGCACCACAACTAAGACCCAACACAGCGAAATAAATAAACATTAAAAAAACCCACACAGATGATACTTGCTTGTGAAGGTTAAGCATGCTTGATTATTGTGGTCGTTATTGTCTTTAATGGGGTGCCACACTGGGTTTCCACTTGGAAATGATGTCAGGCCACTATCCTGGCTTCTTTGTAGCATGCATTACATAGAAGCTATACAAAACACTCCTGTTTTCCATTGACAAACCATGAGAGCCCAGGTCCCTCATGTAGTCATTTTATTTTGTTGTCTCATTTTTAAGCATCCCACCTGTTACTTATAACTTTTTCAAGAGGACATCAGAGACCAGGCCAGAAGCTCATATAGAAATCCTGGTGTTGCATTTGAGACCCCTCTCTCTTGAGTTGGGGATAGGAGGTAGCATCTACTTTGCATTCTTGGGTTAGAGTGCCCAGTCTGCAAATCTCAGATATGACTTTAATCTCTCTCAACTCTTTCATGTGTCCAGTGTAAGCAAGGGTTTACAGAGTTGTCTCTTTCTTAGCCAAATATTCCAAAATGTGTGTGTAATGGTCTTAGTTTGGAATGTAGCATACAATGTCTGTTGCTGTTTTAATATCTTGTATATTAGTATAACAACTCCATAACCTGCCCCTGGTAGCTCTCCAAGTGTATTTATTGAATCAATTTACTAGTTGAAAATATGAGGTGATAGTAAGCTAGGCCTGAGGGTTTCCGTCAGCTAAATAATTAGATTAAGGCCTCTAAAGAAGATTTAGGAAAATAAATAAGAGGCAGAATCTGGAGGGTAACAAAAGAATAGAGACCTGGATAATGACCTGTATTTGTTTAGCATTTTGTAATGTATACAACACCTAGCTAGTTATTTCATTCTCAGTAATCTGCCAGGGAGACATTACTCCATTAAAATTAACTTTATTAGTCTGAGAGAAGTAATGTCCATCAACTCTTGAATCAGATTAGCTTTTCAGGGCTAATGTTGGATTTTGCCCGGGTACTTAATGTGAATTAAACCCTCTGAATAGAACTAGATTTGTTATTCTCTGGTAAATTACAAAGCAGAGAGTTCAAAACTTTTCAACCTAATGGTGTATGTCTTCAGGTTTTGTTCTTGTCCACACAGCTATTGTCCACCCAACTTACAAGGAAATCAGTAGTTATTACAATAAAAAAGGCTAATGGCAACACCAGGGAAATTGTGCCTGTGGAAGGTTTGTAATGACTGGGTTTGCTCCTGTGAAAGGCCCTATTTAGGCTTGCAGGTGAGGATGCTCATCTGACACCAGCAGGAGGGGCTGATGAACACTGCTTTATCTTTGTAGCTGAACACCTTCTGAAATTTGATTTTCATGACATTAATCTTAACTCACATTCAGAGTCAGAGTTATGGTTCAGACTGATTCAGTTGAACCCCAAAGATAAGGTTGATGTGCTGTGCTGTGCTTAGTCACTCAGTCATGTCTGAATCTTTGCAACCCGATGGACTGTAGCCTGCCAGGCTCCTCTGTCTGTGGGGAGTCTCCAGGCA